CCCCCCTCCTGGGGCCCAAAACCGGCCAGAGCCTGCAGAAAATCTATGTCTTCGGCCTGCTGGCCCTCTCGGAGGGCCTCATGACGGCTCCAGATGGCCTCAGGACGAACGAAGACGCTACCAAGACGGTCCAGGATGGCCCCAAGAGGGCTGAAACAGCTCCCATCACGCCCCAAGAGCAGCTCAAAGAGCGCCTCCATAGGCCAGCATCATTTATTTCCCATAAAGGGTTTTGAAGGATTTTAACGTTCTCGCCCTTCTCGACTTTCAGAGGCCCATGGCGGTCCAAGCTGCCTCCGAAATTGTCCCCAGACGGCCCAAGCAGTGCAGAAGAGGACCCAAAGACAGCCAAAGAGGGCCCCAAGATGGCCCAACTAGGCCCCCAAGACGGTCCCAGAGGCCCCCCAAACGGCCCAAGACAGCCTCCGAAGGGGCCGAACGGCGCAAGAGCGCCCCAAGACGGCCCAGCCCCCAAGAAGCCCCAAGAAACCACCCAAGAAGGTCCAACACACCCCCAAGAGACCTCCAGAAATTCTCCAGAGGCCCCCAAGGGAGTCTCGAACAGGGCCCAAGAAGCCCCCCCCCAGGAATTCCCAAGAGTGGCTCCAGAGGTCTCCAAAGAACTAGGCTGGACATACTCCGAGCAGCTCACAGAGGCCCTCCAGAGACCCCAGAGCCGCCAGATCACTTCCACGATGCGCGCCACAGGCCCCCCGACCCACGCCGAGACGGCCGCGCAGCATGCACGGCGTGCGAAACCCACGCGGCAGCATGCGGGGTGGCCACGCCGTCCCACACCCACACACTGCGCCAATGCTACCCCTTTTTCGTGCGGCCCGTAACGACAGGCCAGGGGCGCGCATCGAAACAACAACAAACACAATACAACAACTACTAGAATCCGCCCCCAATGGCGTCGGCATCGCCCCACTTCGGGCAGAACGACACGGCAGACCGGCGCGACAGACGTGTAGGGGAAACCAGCAGACGCCCAGTCTTTACGTGCTCCGGAAGTGCACCCCGCGAAGCGAGAGGAATCCACGTCCATAAGTGACGTGTTGCCGGAGGCAGGTCCGCGGATGCTGTAAGTGCTGAGCGGCAGCATCTTTCGGCGAACGCCTTAATCCAACGTGTCCAAAGTATCATATTATTGCATACTTGACATTTGTCGCATTCTTGCGTCATTGGGACACCTTGTCGTATTTTGTATTATTGTGTCTCCTCCACCAGACCTTCTCCCGGGGCCGCCCACGTCCGCCTACCCTAAGAAAAATACCCCCCTCTATGCCTCAGAACTTACACAAAAAACATACAGTCGGGGCGTTGACCTAAGGAACGATAAATAAGGAACGAGGCCCCTTTTTCCATAAGTTAAACTTCGATTGCCCATCGAAAAACTAAGGACAACCTAGGCACACTGCGACACAATTAAGGAACACGGAGCCCCTCCTCAACGAAAAGGGTTCCTTGTTCAGCGCCCCGACAGTATGGGACATCTATGATTTGGGCACCTGTGGCCTCTTGGGGGTCGAAGAGTGCGTCAAGACGGCGCAAGATGGCCCGAAGACGGGCCAAGACAAGCCAACGGCGGTCCAAGAGGGCCCCAAGAGGGCCCCAAAAAGCACCCATGGAGGCCCAAGAGTGCCCCAACAGGACCCCGAAGAGCGGTTGCTGCAGGATTTTCGCGTTCTCATCTTTTCTATCCTTAGAGGTCCATGACGACCCTCGCAGCCTCCAAAATGGTCCCAGAACGGCCCCAAAGGCCCCCAAGAGGACCCCAAGACTGTCCAAGAGGGCCCCAAGACGGGCCAAAGAGGCCCCCAGGACGGTCCAAGAGGGCCCAAGAGGACCCCAAGAGGGCCCTAAGGCGGCCGCGAGAGGCCCACAGGATGGCCTCCGAATGAGCCCGCAAGAGCGCCCCAAGACGGCCCAAGACGCTCCCAAGAGGCCCCAAAGAAGCCCCCTGGAGGCCCCAAGAAGCCACACGAGGCCTCCAAAAGGCCCCAAGGAAGCTCCCATCAGGCCCAACATTGTCTGGACTGCACGTGCTCCGGACGTGCACGCCGCGAAGAGAAAGGAATCCACGTCTGGAGGCGACATGCTGATCGGCAGCGGTTCCCGCGAAGGCGATAATGCAAGGTATCCAATGTATCAAATAGTTGCGTAGATGCCACATGTCGTGCTGTCTTACATTAGTATGTGTCCCCCTACCCCCCCGTCTGGAGTCACGCCACTTCCGTCGACCCTAACGTGACGAACCCCTTTTGGGCTTCGAGAGCTACAAAATCCGATGGAACATCTAATAATGCGTCAGGACGGCTCAAGATGGCATCAGTACCGGCCAAGACGACCCCAAAATGGTCCAAGATGGCACAAAAAGCCCCCTAGACGGCCCAAGAGGGCCCCAACAGGACCTCCACGAGCGCCTCCAAAAGCCAAAAGCATTGATTTTCCTTTGGTCGTTGAAAGATTGTAACGTTCTCGCCTAGGGGGCCCGTGGCGGCCCAAACAGCCTCCAAGATTCATCCAAAACGGCCCAGTAACCCTCCAACAGGGCCTCATGACGGCCCAAGACAGCCCAATGATGCCCTTAAGAAGGTCCACGAGGCCCCGAAGACGGCTCAAGAGGAGCCCAAGAGGGCCCCTAGGCGGCCGCGAGATGCCCACTGGACGGACCCCGAAGGGGCGAAACGGAGCAAAAGCATGCCAAAACGGTACAAAATGCCCCAAGAGGCTCCCAAGAGACCCTCGGGAAGCTCCCCGGAGGCCTCCCAGAGGCCCCCCACAGGCCCCCAAGAGACCTCCAAGAGGCCCTGTTGATGATGAGGATGCTGTTGATGATGATGATGATGATGATGATGATGATGATGATGATGATGATGATGATGATGATGATGATGATGATGATGATGCCTTCTGCTGCTGCTGCTGATGATTCTGCTGATGCTGATGCTGTTGTTGCTGCTGATGCTGATGCTGATGCTGATGCTGATGCTGATGCTGATGATGACGGCGATGCGGTTGTTGTTGATGCTGATGCTGACGATGATTATGATGATTATGATGATGCTGATGATGATGATGAGGAGGAGGAGGAGGATGAGGAGGCACAGCAGGAAAAGGATATCCAATGGACTTCGGCTCATCCCGCCACCGTGTCTGGGTTGTAGGTATGAAGCCTCTTTGATGTTCGTTGGGATCTCGTGGGGGTCCTTTCGGGGGCCTCTTGGAGGCAGCTTTGAGGCCTCTTGGGGGCCTCATAGGGCCTCATGGGTTCTCTTGGGCCTCTTGGGGGCCTCTTGGGGCCTCTTGGAAGCTTCCTGGGGCCTCCTGGGAGCCTATTGGGGCGGAAGGCTTGGATTTCCGGTTCGTGTTTTTTCTCATGGGATCCGTTTGGGGCCCGCGTTCTCCACCTGCGCACATCGATTGCAATCTCGGCCCAAGACGCCCCAGGAGGCCCCGTCAGGCCGCAAACCCAACCCCTGGAGGCCCCAATACGCTCTCAAGACACTTCCAAAAGGCCCCAAGAGGCTCCCACAAGGCCCCGCAACGACTGAGAACACGCGCTCCGGACGCGCACCCCGCGAAGCGAAAGGAATCCACGTCCGGAGGTGACGTGCTGAGCGGCAGCGTTTTCTGCGGAGTCAATAATGCAACGTATCCTATGTATCCAGTAGTTGCATAATTGCCAGATGTTGTGTTGTGTTGTGTTATATTACTATGTGTCCCCCCTGCCCCCCCTGGAGTCGCGCCACCTCCGTCGACCCAAACGTGACGGACCCCTTTTGTGCTTCGAAGCCTGCAGCAAAAACGATGGAAAATCTACGATTTGGGCTCCTGGGGTCTCTTGGGGGTCCATGGGACCGTCATGACGGCTCAGGATGGCCTCAGTACCCGCCAAGACGGCCCCAAGACGGTCCAAGACGGCCCCCAAGAGCCCCCTAGACGGCCCAGGAGGGCCCCACAAGCACCCCCAAGAGCGCCTCCAGAGGCCAAAATTATTGATTTACTTCTGTTTGTTGTAAAATTGTTGTGTTCTCGCCTTTTTCGGCTCTCAGAAACCCAGGACGGCCCAAGCAGCCTCCAAAGTGGCCCCAGGACGGCCCAAGAAACACTCAGGGCCCCAAGACGCCCCCGAGAGGAGCCCGAGACGGCCCAAGAGGACCTCAAGAGAGCCCCAAGGCGACCGCCGAAGGCCCCCAAGGCGGCCTCCGAAGGGACCAGACAGCGCTAGAGCGCCCCAAGACGGCCCAAGACGCCGCCAAAGGCACCAAAACCTGGAAGAGGCCCCAAAGAAGCCCCCTGGAGGCCCCAAGACGCCCCCCAGAAGCCTCCAGAATGGCACCAAGACGGCACAAGAAGCCCTCAGGGCCCCACCCCAAGACCTGGAAGAGGCCCCAAAGAAGCCACCTGGAGGCCCCAAGACGCTCCCAACAAGCCTCAAAGAGGCTCCCAAGAGGCTCCCACGAGGCTCCACGACTGGACTGCACGTGCTCTGGACGTGCACCCCGCGAAGCGAGAGGAATCTGTCGTAACGCTAGCACCACTCGCAGACGTCAACGTGGAGCTGCTGCTTCCTGTAGTGCTGCTGTTGCTGCTGCTGGTGTCAGACATGCTGCTCTCTGTCGTGGTGATGGTCGTCAGCGTTGAGCTGCTGCTTTTACTTGTGCTGCTCTCAGTCGAAACGCTAGTGCCACTCGCAGACGTCAACGTAGAGCTGCTGGTATCTGTCGTGCTGCTGCCGGTACCAATCATGTTGCTCTCTGTCGCGGTGCTGGTTCCGCTCGCGGACGTCAACGTAGAGCTACTGGTACCAGTCATGCTGCTCTCCGTCGTGGTGCTGTTTTCGCTCGCCGACGTCACCGTTGAGCTGCTCTCTGTTGAGCTGCTGGTCCCGCTTGTAGACGTGGTGCTCTCTGTCGTGGTGCTGGTACCACTCGCAGACGTCAACGTAGAGCTGCTGCTACCGGTCGTGCGGCTGCTGGTGCCAGTCATGCTGCTCTCTGTCGTGGTGCTGGTCAAACTTTCTGACGTCAACGTAGAACTGCTGCTCTGTGTCCCGCTTCTACTGGTGCCAGTCGAGCTGCTCTGAGTTGCTGTGCTGGACCCGCTGGCGGACGTCATCGTGGAGCTGCTGCTTTCAGATGCGCTGCTCTCCGTCGTACTGCTGGTCCCGCTCGCTGACGTCACCGTAGAGCTGCTATCTGTCGTGCTGCTACTGGTACCTGTAATGCTGCTGTCTGTCGTGGTGATGGTTTTGCTCGCAGTCGTCAACGTAGAGCTACTGGTGCCAGACATGCTGCTCTCCGTCGTGGTGCTGGTCCCACTCGCCGACGTCACCGTTGAGCTGCTGCTTTCACTTGTGCTGCTCTCTGTCGTAACGCTGGTGCCACTCGCAGATGTCAACGTAGAGCTGCTGCTACCTGTCGTGCGGCTTCTAGTGCCAGTCATGCTGCTCTCCGTCGTGGTGATGGTCAAGGTTGCTGACGTCAACGTAGAGCTGCTGCTATCTGTCGTGCTGCTACTGGTGCTAGTCATGCTGCTCTCTGTCGTGGCGCTGGTTCCGCTCGCAGTCGTCAACGCAGAGCTACTGGTGCCGGTCATGCTGCTTTCTGTCGTGGTGCTGGTCGCACTCGCCGACGTCAACGTAGAGCTGCTGCTTTCGCTTGTGCTGCTCTCTGTTGAGATGCTGGTCACGCTCGCGGTCGTCAACGTAGAGCTGCTGCTATCTGTCGTGCTGCTAGTGGTGCCAGTCGAGCTGCTCTCTGTCGTGGTGCTGGCCAAGCTCGATGACGTCATCGTGGAGCTGTGGCTTTCACTTGTGCTGCTCTCTGTCGGGGTGCTGGTCCCGCTCGCTGACGTCACCGTAGAGCTGCTGCTATCTGTCGTGCTGCTGCTGGTGCCAGTCATGCTGCTCTCTGTCGTGGTGCTGGTTTCGCTCGCAGTCGTCAACGTAGAGCTACTGGTGCCAGTCATGCTGCTCTCTGTTGTGGTGCTGGTCCCACTCGCCGACGTCACTGTTGAGCTGCTGCTTTCACTTGTGCTGCTCTCTGTCGTAACGCTGGTGCCACTCGCAGACGTCAATGTAGCGCTGCTGCTGCCTGTGGTGCGGCTGCTGGTGCCAGTAATGCTGCTCTCTGTCGTGGTGCTGGTCAAGCTTGCCGACGTCAACGTAGAACTGCTGCTATCTGTCGCGCTGCTACTGGTGCCAGTCGAGCTGCTCTGAGTTGCTATGCTGGACCCGCTGGCGGACGTCGTCGTGGAGCTGCTGCTTTCTGTTGCGCTGCTCTCCGTCGTGGTGCTGGTCCCGCTCGCTGACGTCACCGTAGAGCTGCTGCTATCTGTCGTGGTGCTGTTACTGGTACCTGTAATGCTGCTCTCTGTCGTGGTGCTGGTTTCGCTCGCAGTCGTCAACGTAAAGCTACTGGTGCCAGGCATGCTGCTCTCCGTCGTGGTGCTGGTCCCACTCGCCGACGTCAACGATGAGCTGCTGCTATCTGTCGTGCTGCTACTGGTACCTGCGACACTGCTCTCTGTCGTGGTGCTGGTTTCGCTCGCAGTCGTCAACGTAGAGCTACTGGTGCTGGTCATGCTGCTCTCTGTCGTGGTGCTGGTCCCACTCGCCGACGTCACCGTTGAGCTGCTGCTTTCGCTTGTGCTGCTCTCCGTCGTGGCGCTGGTCAAACTTTTTGACGTCAACGTAGAACTGCTGCTATCTGTCGCGCTGCTACTGGTGCCAGTCGAGATGCTCTGAGTTGCTGTGCTGGACCCGCTGGCGGACGTCATCGTGGAGCTGCTGCTTTGAGATGCGCTGCTCTCAGTCGTGCTGCTGGTCCCGCTCGCTGACGTCACCGTAGAGCTGCTGCTATCTGTCGTGCTGCTCCTGGTGCCAGTCATGCTGCTCACTGTCGTGGTGCTGGTCCCGCTCGCAGTCGTCAATGTAGAGCTACTGGTACCGGTCAAGCTGCTACCTGTCGTGGTGCTGGTCCCACTCGCCGACGTCACCGTTGAGCTGATGCTTTCACTTGTGCTGCTCTCTGTCGTAACGCTGGTGCCACTGGCAGACGTCAATGTAGCGCTGCTGCTGCCTGTGGTGCGGCTGCTAGTGCCAGTAATGCGGCTCTCTGTCGTGGTGCTGGTCAAGCTTGCCGACGTCAACGTAGAACTGCTGCTATCTGTCGCGCTGCTACTGGTGTCAGTCGAGCTGCTCTGAGTTGTTGTGCTGGACCAACTGGCGGATGTCCTCGTGGAGCTGCTGCTTTCTGTTGCGCTGCTCTCCGTCGTGCTGCTGGTCCCGCTCGCTGACGTCACCGTAGAGCTGCTGCTATCTGTCGTGCTGCTACTGGTACCTGTGATGCTGCTCTCTGTCGTGGAGCTGGTTACGCTCGCAGTCGTCAACGTAGAGCTACTGGTGCCAGTCATGCTGCTCTCCGTCGTGGTGCTGGTCCCGCTCGCCGACGTCACCGTAGAGCTGCTGCTATCTGTCATGCTGCTGCTGGTGCCAGTCATGCTGCTCTCTGTCGTGGTGCTGGCCAAGCTCGATGACGTCATCGTGGAGCTGTTGCTGTCACTTGTGCTGCTCTCTGTCGTGGTGCTGGTCCCGCTCGCTGACGTCAACGTAAAGCTGCTGCTATCTGTCGTGCTGCTGCTGGTGCCAGTCATGCTGCTCTCTGTCGTGGTGCTGGTTTCGCTCGCTGACGTCACCGTAGAGCTACTGGTGCCAGACATGCTGCTCTCTGTCGTGGTGCTGGTCACACTCGCCGACGTCAACGTTGAGCTGCTGCTTTCACTTGTGCTGCTCTCTGTCGTAACGCTGGTGCCACTCGCAGACGTCAATGTAGCGCTGCTGCTGCCTGTGGTGCGGCTGCTAGTGCCAGTAATGCGGCTCTCTGTCGTGGTGCTGGTCAAGCTTGCCGACGTCAACGTAGAACTGCTGCTATCTGTCGCGCTGCTACTGGTGCCAGTCGAGCTGCTCTGAGTTGCTGTGCTGGACCCACTGGCTGACGTCCTCGTGGAACTGCTGCTTTCAGATGCGCTGATCTCCGTCGTGGTGCTGGTCCCGCTCGCTGACGTCACCGTTGAGCTGCTGCTATCTGTAGTGCTGCTACTGGTACCTGTAATGCTGCTGCCTGTCGTGGTGATGGTTTCGCTGGCAGTCGACAACGTAAAGCTACTGGTGCCAGACATGCTGCTCTCCGTCGTGGTGCTGGTCCCACTCGCCGACGTCAACGTTGAGCTGCTGCTTTCACTTGTGCTGCTCTCTGTCGTAACGCTGGTGCCACTCGCAGACGTCAATGTAGCGCTGCTGCTGCCTGTGGTGCGGCTGCTAGTGCCAGTAATGCGGCTCTCTGTCGTGGTGCTGGTCAAGCTTGCCGACGTCAACGTAGAACTGCTGCTATCTGTCGCGCTGCTACTGGTGCCAGTCGAGCTGCTCTGAGTTGCTGTGCTGGACCCACTGGCTGACGTCCTCGTGGAACTGCTGCTTTCAGATGCGCTGATCTCCGTCGTGGTGCTGGTCCCGCTCGCTGACGTCACCGTTGAGCTGCTGCTATCTGTAGTGCTGCTACTGGTACCTGTAATGCTGCTGCCTGTCGTGGTGATGGTTTCGCTGGCAGTCGACAACGTAAAGCTACTGGTGCCAGACATGCTGCTCTCCGTCGTGGTGCTGGTCCCACTCGCCGACGTCAACGTTGAGCTGCTGCTATCTGTCGTGCTGCTACTGGTACCTGCGATACTGCTCTCTGTCGTGGTGCTGGTTTCGCTCGCAGTCGACAACGTAAAGCTACTGGTGCCGGTCATGCTGCTCTCTGTCGTGGTGCTGGTCCCACTCGCCGACGTCACCGTTGAGCTGCTGCTTTCACTTGTGCTGCTCTCTGTCGTGGTGCTGGTCAAGCTTGCTGACGTGAACGTAAAACTGCTCCTATCTGTCGCGCTGCTACTGGTGCCAGTCGAGCTGCTCTGAGTTGCTGTGCTGGACCCGCTGGCGGACGTCGTCGCGGAGCTGCTGCTTTCAGATGCGCTGCTCTCCGTCGTGCTGCTGGTCCCGCTCGCTGACGTCAACGTTGAGCTGCTGCTATCTGTCGTGCTGCTCTCTGTCGTGGTGATGGTTCCGCTCGCAGTCGTCAACGTAGAGCTACTGGTGCCAGTCATGCTGCTCTCTGTCATGGTGCTGGTCCCACTCGCCGACGCCACCGTTGAGCTGCTCTCTGTTGAGCTCTCGGTCCCACTCGCGGTCGTCACCGTAGAGCTGCTGGTGCCTGTCGTGCTGCTGCTGGTGCCAGTCATGCTGCTCTCTGTCGTGGTGCTGGTCAAGCTTGCTGACGTCAACGTAGAGCTGCTGCTATCTGTCGTGCTGCTACTGGTGCCAGTCGAGCTGCTCTGAGTTGTTGTGCTGGACCCACTGGCGGACGTCCTCGTGGAACTGCTGCTTTCTGTTGCGCTGCTCTCCGTCGTGGTGCTGGTCCCGCTCGCTGACGTCACCGTAGAGCTGATGCTATCTGTCGTGCTGCTGCTGGTGCCAGTCATGCTGCTCTCTGTCGTGGTGATGATTTCGCTCGCAGTCGTCAACGTAGAGCTACTGGTGCCGGTCAAGCTGCTCTCTGTCGTGGTGCTGGTCCCACTCGCCGACGTCACCGTTGAGCTGCTGCTTTCACTTGCGCTGCTCTCTGTCGTAACGCTGGTGCCACTCGCAGATGTCAACGTAGAGCTGCTGCTGGTGCCTGTCGTGCTGCTGCTGGTGCCAGTCATGCTGCTCTCTGTCGTGGTGCTGGTCAAGCTTGCTGACGTCAACGTAGAGCTGCTGCTATCTGTCGTGCTGCTGCTGGTGCCAGTCGAGCTGCTCTGAGTTGTTGTGCTGGACCCACTGGCGGACGTCCTCGTGGAACTGCTGCTTTCTGTTGCGCTGCTCTCCGTCGTGGTGCTGGTCCCGCTCGCTGACGTCAACGTAGAGCTGCTGCTATCTGTCGTGCTGCTACTGGTACCTGTGATGCTGCTCTCTGTCGTGGAGCTGGTTACGCTCGCAGTCGTCAACGTAGAGCTACTGGTGCCAGTCATGCTGCTCTCCGTCGTGGTGCCGGTCCCACTCGCGGTCGTCACCGTAGAGCTGCTGCTATCTGTCGTGCTGCTACTGGTACCTGTGATGCTGCTCTCTGTCGTGGCGCTGGTTCCGCTCGCAGTCGTCAACGTAGAGCTACTGGTGCCGGTCACGCTGCTCTCTGTCGTGGTGCTGGTCCCACTCGCCGACGTCACCGTTGAGCTGCTGCTATCTGTAGTGCTGCTACTGGTACCTGTAATGCTGCTGCCTGTCGTGGTGATGGTTTCGCTGGCAGTCGACAACGTAAAGCTACTGGTGCCAGACATGCTGCTCTCCGTCGTGGTGCTGGTCCCACTCGCCGACGTCAACGTTGAGCTGCTGCTATCTGTCGTGCTGCTACTGGTACCTGCGATACTGCTCTCTGTCG